GGGGGGGGGGGAAGGGAGGAAGAAAGAACAACGCGAATGGTAGTCTATCGAGAAGGAGACTTTCGTGAACCCTCGTACGTTGGCCTCGCGCAACGAGAACAGCGTTACGCTCGGTCGACGGGGTACCTCGTGAGAATTCGGGTGTCAGGGGTGCCTCTGTAGTAGCGGCGGTGGTCGTGATGTGAGAGGTGGTGGTGGTGGTGGTGGTGGTGGTGGGTGGTAGTGGTGGTGGCGGTGGCACTGGTGGCCGATGGTGGTGGTGGTGCCGCCGTTGCTAGTAGTGGTGCGGTTACAGTCGATACGGCGTGGCGGAGGCGTCGAGGAGCTTTTCGTCGAGGACGACGCGAGTGCATGTTGGAAGCAGGTTTACGTAAGAACGAACGACGACGACGACGACGACGACGATGACGACGATAACGACGTCGACGACGACAACGACGACGACGACGACGACGACGACGACGACGACGACGACAATGTTTCGTCCGCTTGCTCGCTTGCCTGCCTACCTACCTGCCTAGTGGTGACGTCGTGTGTGCTGGTCGCGTGTGCGCACGTGTGACGCCGCCAATGGATACTCGACGAGGTGGCTGATCGAAAACTCGAGGGGACGTCCTCGGCGCCGTTTGGGCTCGCCGAACGGAGCGCGCGCTGCTCGAGCGAGGGCGAAGGAACGCGAGCGACGCGAATACATAGTTGCGAGGAGTGCTAGGGTAGGAACACACGAATGGACGAAACGGGTCTGTGCAATTGCGACCTTTCTCCACTGATTCGCCACGGTACGTAGCGAAGACTCCGGAGAGTGGTGGATTTGTGTGAAGGGCCACGAAAGGACAAAAAGAGACGCGTGAAAGGAATCTCTGGCATAAAAGATATAGGAAGAGAAGAGGGCGAGAAAATCACAGTAGGGTGAATAGGGAGAAGGAGAACGAAGAGATACACACAAGTGCGACAAAGTGTGAGGACGCGAAAAGAAGGATGGGCGAAAAATCGGTCGCGATAGGTTTCTCCAAGCGAGCGAAGACGCCTCTCGTCGTTGGTCGTTGTTGAGGCGCGTCCGAGTGTCGAGTGTTGGGAAAGGAGGTGTCAAGCGCGACAAGCAGGAGTCGAGGGACGCCGACGACGAGTTTCGGTACAACGACGACGATCCGCGCGTCATGGAGCCGTCGGTGTTTCTGCTGTACGCGATGACGGTATTTGGCGTGGCGGCCAGCGGCGACAAGTGCGCCGACGAGTGCTCCTGCAAGTGGAAGAGCGGGAAGCGTACGGTGGAGTGCATAGATCGTGCTCTGACCAGCATACCGGAGTGGATCGATCCGGAGACTCAGGTGCTGGACACGAGCGGCAACGACATCAGGCATCTGCCGAGTAACATTTTCGTACGCGTACGTTTGACGAATCTTCAGCGTCTCTACCTGCGCGAGTGCCGTATCGACCGGATCGACAGCGAGGCACTGGCCGGCCTGACGAATCTCGTGGAGCTTGATCTCAGTAACAATCTACTGACCGCGGTGCCGAGCTCGAGTTTCACGGATACGCCGTTCCTGCGCGACCTGGTGCTCGCGTACAATCCACTCGAGAAGGTCCGCTCGCACACCTTCGAGAGCACGCCGAATCTCGTGAAGCTCGATCTATCGCATACGCAGCTGGTGGAAATCGAGTCGAAGGGTTTTCGCGGGCTCGACCTGCTCGAGAGCCTCAAGCTCAACAACAATCGATTGTCCACCTTGCATCCGGGCACCTTCGAGCCGCTCAACAAGCTCACGAGTATCGAGCTGCACGACAATCCGTGGATCTGCAACTGCCACTTGCGCGAGATGAAGATGTGGCTGGTGAAGCACAACTTGCCGACCCTCGTGGCACCTGTGTGCCATGGCCCCGAGCAACTACTCAAGCGTGCCTTCACCGACCTCGGCATCGACGACTTCGCCTGTCGGCCGGTCATGTTGATAGCCAGTCGCTACGCCGAAGCGACCATCGGCGAGAATGCCAGTATCGTGTGTCGCGTGAGCGCGATACCAGCCCCAAAGGTTAAATGGTACTGGAACGGCCGATTGCTGACCAATCACTCCGCTTTCAGCAGCTATCAGAAGATCCTTATCTTCGAGGAAGGCCAGTTTAGGAAAAGGAGCACACTGATCCTCACCAACGCCCAGGAGGCGGACTCGAGCGAGTTCTACTGCGTCGCTGAGAACCAAGCCGGCAGCGCCGAAGCCAACTTCACCCTGCACGTGTCCCTGAGGACCGCGGGCATGTCGACTCTGGGCTCCGGCCAAATCGCCGGCATATCAGCCGCGTTGGTCGTGCTCATTCTTTTCATATTGCTCATCATTCTCGTGCTGTTTATCCGTCTGCGAAGAATGCCGCTGAAGGACGTGAAATCGTCGGTGCCGATGGAAGCGACGTCCGGCGGTGACGGTGGCGTCGGCAACGGTCCCGGCGGTGGTGGTGGCGGCGGCGGCGGCGGTGGCGACAACAACCCACCGTCCGCCACATCCACCACTCGTAGGAAGCACGAGGAGATCGAGACGACGTCGTTCGGGCTGGAGTCGAAGCCACCCGCATCGTTGCACCTGAGTTACGTGCAGAGACCGCAGGCGGCTGTGGTGCAGGATAACGAGTACGCGACGATAAGCCGCTTTGACGACCAGAGTCAACCACCCACGGTGGCGATGCCCGCGGGCGCCTGTTTCTCGTCGACGACGTCCTTGATGCCGATCGATAATCCGGATCTCATCAGGGATACCCGGCGCGGCTCCGCCGAGGACATCACGCCTTACGGCGTCGCCGATTACGGTCGTGTCGAGGCAATGGACGATGGCAAGATGCTCTATTCTAGTTGCCTGTGGGAGGCCAGAGATGCCTGCAGAACATCCGTTTCGGTGAGCGCGTATCCGTCGAAGGAGACGCTCGCGGTGGTGGCGCCGGCCGTCGAGCAGTTTCCGCCGGGCGCGAAGCAGATGCGAGTCTGGCAGAAGGGTGTCCCGGTACTGCCGCCGGTTTCAGCGCTGAAGCGTGTCCTGGGATCTACGCGCAGCTCGCCCGATGAGGGCTATCAAGAGGGCACCGGGACCGATGTCTAGGTACCGCTACTTCATTACTGCGACGCCCGGCACCGTTACCTGGAGCTGCGTAGGAGGCATCAGGAGGACGACACCGACTGCTAAAAGAGGGGAGATAGACTACCATGAACGGAACCATGAACAGAGTTGTCCTCGCGAGTGCCGGACGGGCGGTAGTGAACGAGTAGAAGAGTACAAGAGGAACTGTTGAACTGGAGGAACCTCAGTTTGTGTGATCGCGCGCGCATGAAAGTGCGACGATGACCGGGACCGACCGCCGCGACGCGCGATCGCTGTGATCGCCGCGCCACGCCGTCGCGACGTGTCGAGTACCGTCCTTACCCTACCGCGAGCACGGTTGAACGACAAGTTATACGACAGTGAATCCTTCGCTGTTGAACCGCGCTACCATGATCGAGCTTTCGCGTAGAGCTTTCGTGATCGAAGGTACGAGGCCAATTCTCCGGTCCGACCGGTCAACACGGCCAACTAGGTGCCGCGCGAATTCACGAGACGGTGCCCCCACCGGGACGGATAGTACGGTACAATTAACACCGCGATACCATAGACAACGTCTAAAGACCGCGTCGTGAGAGCGCGTATGAGGCGTACACGCGCGACGATCGAATCGCTAAGTGTATCCTAAGCAAGGAGCCTTCGAATACGAGATGACCGTTGCTGCGGAGGTCGATGAACGCGCAGATCGTTGTACTCCAAGGGGCCTCAAGCATCGGTCTCGGGCATCGATTGTCGAGGATCGACAACGACACGACGTATTATCGTGTTGCTCATCGGTACAGTGCGACGAACCGATTCACACACATACACACACACGTACACATAGCCGACTCTGTTTAGGGTCACCGCGTGCGATTAACACGACCTTCGAGCGGCGCGTAGGCGACAGGGCAAAAACAACAGCTAGCTCTCCCGCTGTCTCTCTCTCTCTCTCTCTCTCTCTCTCTCTCTCTCTCTCTCTCTCTTTCGAGCTTGAAGAGCCACCTTGTTCATGCGGACTAACACCTGCGAGCGTGCGTCCATTCATAGTGGTGCGACTCTTTGAGGCGTTCAACCTATCGTGTGCGGCAATTAATGACACAGTTAGCGATGTCTTGTGTGTGCGGTACGTGTGTGGTGCACCAGTTGGCGGACGTTCGATTCTGTTTAACTGGAAATGTGCGCGCACCTGTCACGGGCCCTGCTCCTTCAGTGCTCGACATCGATGTTGTTAGTTTGTACGGGGTGGCCCGGGAGGGACGGTCGATGCTTCAGTAGGTGATAGCGCTCGTCGTTGTTGTGAGTGAAGAAGCGTTCGCGAAGCGTGTGTCCAATTTCGAGTAGTTGGAGGGTTATCGTCCACGATAGTGGAAATTGGTGGACGTGCACGAGTATCACGTAACGTAAGTCGAAAGAGATCGGAGTTTGCAAATGGGTAACACAGATATTGCGAGCGCGTCTCCAAGTTTGCGGTAAGCTCTCCTTTTCTTTCTCTCTCTCTCTCTCTCTCTCTTTGGAAATTCTATTTGCTCGTTGGTCGCGACAATTGTTCAAAACTGGACACGTATTCGCCGGCACTTCTTCATTTGTGAACATTTGAGGCTGATCGGTCGACGTGGTCGACGGTGTATTGACCTTCCCTGCTGCGACACCCTGGTGCAACGTAATAGTGAGATATCGGTCGGTCGTATTCAGTCGACCAAGAAGCCGCGACATCTGTGCCGATATAAGCCATGCCTCGCGCGTAATGCATATACCGCGTGCATCAAGTCAGAGGCGAGGGAGCATGATGACGATGCGCTACGCGCCGTGCTCGGCCACGTCACTGTCACGACGATCATGTAGCGCAAATATCGACGGGTAACACTTTATATAACGGCTGAACCAAAGTTAGACGAGTCTCCTCTTGAGAGAGACGTTCAAGTAGCGAACGCACACGAAGACTACAGTGCATATCCTGATTAGGATGACGCGTAGATGAGTGTATACGTACACACGTGATAGGAAAAGCGAAGACGACGCTTAAGCTATACCGAAGTGTCTCGCGAATTTTTTCTAGTCAATTCGGAGTGAAAGAGGGAACGAAGGGGTAAACGACGGATATTTATTTATTTCGGCGGGGTGAGAGGTTCGCGCGCTGGGAAATGGCGCTCTCTCGATTGGGGAGCGTGAGGTTAGTCTCTCGTTGAAATCAACGGTGCGGGTCCCTCGAAGCCTCGGTCGACAAACTCTCACGATTGTGAACCGGCGCGAGCCTATATTGTTGCTTCGAGTGGCTGGTCCGAGTGGCTCTCGTGTCCGAGACGAAACCTCGCAAGAACGATCGAGCGAGAGATAGATACGGTGTCGGATGCTGCTCTGGATCCATACTCACGAGGCATACGTTCTCTGATTTCATCCACAGACTCTCTTTGACGGATAAGCCCAATTTTCTTTCCAAGTGTCAAATGTTCGTTTTTCCGAATACAAACATATATATATATATATATATATATATATATATATATATATATGACTTATGATGGCGACGCTTGCCGTCGTGCTTGGAGGTTAGGTCAAATTGAAGAGAAAAGTCTTGTATTATTTTGCGCGCTCGTGCACGCAAATTTTTGTGTTAATAATTGAAGAAGATTGACAGACGATCGCGTGTAATCTTTCACTGATCTTCTTTAATTAATAGCTCAAAAATCTACGTGTTATTTGTAAAAGTGAAACTTTTTTCTTCAGTTTGATTTAATTTACAAACATACGAGTGTCGCCATTGCAGCTCATGTACCGCACAACACGCGATCATTCGCGCCTAACCTAACCAGTCTTTTTTCATTAATAACTCAAAATCTTACGCGGTTATTTACAAAATAGTAGAAAACTTTTCTGTTCAGTTTGACCTAATCTACTTGTATACCACGGCTCCGCGTGTGTATACATACATACATACATACATATACACACACACACATGTGTGTGTCCTTTGATTCTCGTGTTGAATATGATTTAACGATGTGACATTTGAATATAATGGATATAATCGATCTTTTCATAATTTAACGTCGAATCTAGTTACGTATTGTCATCAATATTGAAACGTCGGACATTAGAATATATTCTGGCGTTTTTATCGATATTCTACTTATCAGCGATGTAAAATGTTCGTCGTATTGAAACATTTAAATGTCGTATTGACAACGGGTCAATGCATATTACTGTGACAATATCCGATAATTAAAGATTGACAGTATGTACTTTTAATATTGACGGGTCTTTCATCCCCATGTGAGTGCATGTAAATCGCGACGGTAAATCCAGAATACACGTAGATCTCGATCGTCGTCTTTGTATACGGCGCAGCCACTAGAATCAATTACATAAGACTGTGATAAGCCTGTAAATCAATCGCGAGCGAATGTATACTATTGCTCAATCACTAAAGCAGGATTTCGCGATTGATTGGCTGGCTTATGCCTGGCGTTAGCGTCTTACGTAAGTGAGTCTCTGTCGATCCAGGCATTCGACGGGGAATCGTATTGTCAAATCGGATTATTATGTTCCCGCAGCGGTAACATCGCGCCGTATTGAAAAATTGTATCAGAAAATCATCGGCGGCCCCTCGTGGAAATTATCAACATATTTCGCGAGTAACGCTGAAATTCGCCGCTCATAATATCCGTCATAAAAGAGAAACGGTTATTTGCCTTTTGTAGCAGAGGAGAGCTCTTGCTGTGTAGAATTGGATCTTCTGACGAATCAATTCACATGAAAAGTTGTCTGTCATACATCGAATATTTTTGGGCATCGCGCATTTTCACGTTCGACAGTACATTGCTAACCGATTTGTCCGATTCATCTCTAAGAAAATAGAGTCACGTGCTTTCCACAATGAGCGCGATTCAATTTCACAAGTGATTCTCACATACAACCTCTCCTCTCATTCACTCGTACCGTGCTTTCTGGAAACATTTTTATCGCGGCGAAGAATTATCCCCGCTGGGAAAAGGCAACCCGATCTGATGATAAGTCAAAACGCCAGTGTTGCGAGTTTCGTTCGATCGCCACCTAAAGTGTGTCGACGTGCGTTCATTTTATATGCTGTATAAGCATGTACCCATGCGGCGCGTGCATCTCTGTATGCGTACGTGTGTGTGTGTGTGTGTGTGCGTGTGTGTGTGTGTGCGTGTGTGGAAAGTCGTGTGTGAGGTCGTGTGTGCTTCCGTTCGCGCGTACGCGTTTTCCGTTCGTCGAAAAGGCACGCGGTCGAGATAGGCTCGCGCGAACGCAAGCGCTCGATTTAGCGTTTTGCGTTTATTGCCGATTGTTCGTATCTAACGAAACGGCCGGTTTTCTCTGCTCAATGATGCGCAAAGCCATATTCGTCATATCGGAAACGAAACGAGCAAAAGAAGAAAAGAAAAACAAGAGGAAAAAGCGTCTCGAAATAGAGCGCGGTCACTGCGGACGTTATGTCGCGTGCGCATACAGGGTGAACCACACACACGTAGACATTTATTTCTTATACCCAGGAACGCGAGAGAGTAGAGATGACGTACGCGACGAGATAAAGCGACGTTGATTACACTGATACAAACGTACCGAATATCCGGAGACAACGGTCACGTAATTATGGATTTTTTTTCTATTTGACAATTTCTATTTCGTTGTCGTGTAATTAAAAGTCGCGATAATTAACCGGTCTCGAGTGACGAGAGAAAGTTCGTAAGGATGCGAAAAGAACAACAGTCACGTTGCTTTGAAACGAATCGGCTGTGCCACCGTTCTCCCATGTGTACGTAGGTTGCGTATACAGCGTGTACGTGGGGAGAGAAAACGAGAGGGTGGGTTACATAACTTGCGCCGCTATTTCATAAAAGATTCCATTTGTTCGTTCGCGACGCACTTTAATTGTCGAACCTTGTCGAAATTTCATCGCGAGCGATCGCTTTTCGTTGCTCTCTTTCTCCCTTCTCGGTGAGTTCGTTAGAATTTACAATAATCGCGAATAATCGTGAATGCACGAGAATTGCGTATTTTTCACGTAAAAATTTGTTCAGATATCATTCGCGAAATTTTCCAATCTTAAACAAGGTGATTGTTTCAACGCTTCTCGTCATATTTGGCACGCGTCCGGAAAGTTCGAAATTAAGCGTTTTAACTTGCATCATTCTATTTTTCGCATAACAATTCGCCGTTGCTCAAGTATCAATGACTCTCGCGGCGATTCACTCGTTGATTCCCGTCAGCAAACTATCGCGGAAAAAATTTCTCCTTCCTAAACTCGCAAGACGCGCAATTTCGCAAGTTAGAACCGTAGGTCTCGCGAATTTCTTTGGCTCGATCTTACTGATAGTTATGGAAATTTGGAGAGTACGACTTATATATCTGTTCATAAAATTGTGCGATAAAATGCGGGTATACAGCACTATAAAATGTTGGGGGTGTCTTCTACAACTTATATAAGGTTCGTGCAAATTCACGATCGTGTCTTATAAATAAAAAAAGAGTTAAAATAGACACCTATATATCAAAATATAGGAGAGAAGGTGGGAATATGAACCATTTTTTTTATCACTTTTAGACAAAAAATTTAATATTAAATAAATCAAATTTAATATTAATGCAATAATTGCATCAGTAACTGTCAAAAGAGTGTCAGCAAATATATCTCTTATAATGTATTCATTATATAAAACGTAGTAATATGGAACATCAGGTTCCATATTACCGCCCATCGCTATTTTCCAAACGACTCAACGAGTCTCAACGTTAGCGAAGAATATTTCCAAATAACTAATCCTGCGGCTCGAGACTTTAATCTTATTACTCTTTAATCGACACACTATAGCTAATATGTTAAATTTATCGATTAAGAAAAGATTTTACCTTGTGAAATAGAGGAAGAAAACAAAGTGACTTCTCTTAACACTATAAATAATATGACGCCAGATCCCTTCGATGGTGGATATTCATATTATCACCTTTTCTCCTAATCTCCTAAGTGATTTTGATCTCTTTGAAAGTGATTTGGAAATCGATGGAACTTGCAGCTAGCTCGGCTAGCTTTCAATATGATTAAACACGAATTAAACCGATGAGGTTCGTTTTACCGTACCATTGCAGGCTGAACTCCGTGAGATTGTTCCGGTTTCGATGATGTCCCTTTTAAGGGTTTAAATGCGCGTTTATCATGCGCGTTCTCGCGCATATCGGCATGTCGATCGTTCAAAGTAATCGAGAGTCAACTGTTGCGTGAGAGCTAGCTCAGGTTGAGTCGTTATATCTGATTCTGCGAGTTTTTTTTTTTTATAGCTCTCGATCGACGTGGCACACAATCGCCGCAACGCAACCGTGCCGGTTCAATATACGCAGCCGTAGTTCTCGTTGTCTATGTAGCGAACTATAAGGCACGTGAGGTCTAGAACCTTTACGCGAACTCGATATACCAGCTATATTGATCGGAGGAATACTAGCGAGGCGACGTTAATTGTGACGTATCGTCAACTGTCGAAAAGCGAATCTTCGGGGTGTGTAATCGTGTTACGTCACGTGAATTAACATTCGTCACTCGACGGAAAGTACGGCCGAACGCGCGTAGAGTCGTGTAATCTAACGAGATGGTTTTGTTTACCGAGAAATCACGCAAACGCGGTATTACCGCGTGGAAGCGCTCGTTGTTCATGGAATACCAACGGACAAATAGCTTCACACCGCACAGAATTACGCCACAAGAAATTAATATATCGGAGAATACGTTACACACGAATCACGTGTCTATATTAAATAAAGTGGGTGACACTAACAATGTTTGCGGTATCGGTTGCAAAATTCCATTTCGCGGGGCTTACTTCCGATAGATGTGGCACAGTTGAAGACACCATCGTTTATAGAACAGGCTGCGCATTCACACGAAGCGCACCTGAAGTCAAGACCGAAGGACAGAGGTGATGCCGCGTTAGATGTTTTCTCTGTTACACAGTAGACTACAGCCTGATCTACAATGTGTTCTTTGCCTCCTGTTTCTTGTTTTCTGTCTTTTTTTAGTTTAAGGTTTAAGGCTTGAGTCAGAAAGAGATAAAGAAAAAGTAACAGGAAGCAAATAACACATTATAGATCAAGCTTACAGGAGGGAACGATAGAGAGGAAACGAAAGAAAGAGTGGCGCATATACATCTTCGGGTCTTAAGTATTAAATTCGACTATGAACACCGGTCATAGTGAGGGAAAGAGAGGACCGTATGATCGTTTCTCTTCCTTCGTTCTTTCCACCAACCAAACAATTGGAAAGCATCTCGCTCTTTATTGCCCTCTCTTACAAAACTGACTCTATCCTTCCTACGCGGTAAGGCGCGGTCTATTCTATATGTCTATGGTTGGACACAGAGAGCCGAGGAGAGTGATCCTCGGATCGGAGCGTCCCTCGAAAGTTCCGCGCGCCCCGAAAATGACTCGATAATAAAACTTGGCGAGGGTGCACTCGACATAATGTTGTTGCGTGGATTAATTTTTGCTCTTCACTTTCTCGACTTATTGATCCAAGTCGGCGAGTCGTTCTCAAAAAATATCGCAGAACGGACAATCGCGCATCCGTTAGTCAATGGCATGCGGCGTTGCGATATTGGAACGAAACGTCGTGTATATGCCTGCTGGGCATAACGATTACATTGGCTAATGAAAGAAACAAATTTATCGGAACAATTTATTTGACTTGTCTTACATTTATTTGAATTACACACGTCTCTGAGATTTTCGTATTTCGCGCACAATGAAATAGGCTTGAAGTTCTACTGTTGCATTTTTGCACGATTTGTTTTCGATTAATGCGATGTTGACGAGCGCGTTGACGCAATTGTTCGGAATACAATGAATTTAAATGTCATTGCGTATTTTAAATTCCATCATATTTCAAAAGCACTGAGAAGATGTACGAATTATCAACAGCATAGAGACGGCTGTGTTTTTAACGTAACATATTACGACTATTAACTTTTGTGTGAAATTCTTGAACGTGAGAGATAAGTCGAATGTAATTCTAAAACGAGAATTTCGATCGATGTCACTTCGTCCTGAGATAATTTCACAGTTGAACGAATGACCTCTTCTTCTTTTCTATTTCTAAGCGACAATATGTGACATTGGCTGTTTTAATTTCGGTGTACTGATAACGCGCACGGCTACACATTTTCGCGAGAAGATATATTTGAAACACTGCCGAAAGGGACGCGGAGCAACGCGAGACGAGCGTAAACAACCCTGTGCACATATTTTCTCACTTCTTAAGGTAATTTCGCTCGCTGGGAGGAGCTCGTCCTTCGCTCCTGGCGTGAAAATATGCTTTCGCGGCCGCAACACGGCGGCGGCGGTTCGACACTGGGTGTTCGTGAAATTCATACATCTCGAATTTTCGTGTCTCCGCAATATTTTTACCGTGATATTTTCAATCGTCACTCGCATTGTTACGTGGCGACGGATTTGAAGCATTTCGAGTTCAAAACCTAATATATTCCGAGTCTCTCGTCGAAAGCTAGATTAAAGGAAATTCGACGAATTTTATAAATGCGTATTTTGTTACACGTACTTCTCAGATCGGTATTGTGTCAAAGAGAGCTGATTTCGTCGTTTCTCTTATTGATGCGGACGAAATGAGTCCCGTGACGTTCCTCGAGTGCTGTCACATTCATTATCCAGACCCAAGTCCGTCTCTGTCGTTACGGGTTATTATCACCGGAAAAGAGGCACGACATTCAACATGCCGCACGTCTTCTATTGTTACGCTGTGACGCCGAAACGAGTGCCACTTGTCTCATCAGTTGACAACAATAAACCGTAGTGCGGTTACCGATTGAAATATTTAAGATTAGGACGACAAAACGGAACGAGAGGCGTGTGAGAGGAAGCGAGAGAGAGAGTGGGGGGGGAGAGAGAGAGAGAGAGAGAGAGAGAGAGAGAGAGAGAGAGAGAGAGAGAGAGAGAGAGAG